TGGTGGTCCACGTGGAGAGAGGGGGAAGGGAAGGAGGACAAGGGGAAAGGGAACAGGGGAGTGAGGATGGGAGAGGAGAGGGGGAGCTGATCAGAGGTCAAGGAAGGAGCCAAGAGAGAGCTCTTTATTGCTAACCCAAGCCTATATACCTTTTGGGGGAGTGCAAGCCCCCTAATTACAGGTAAAGACACACGTCACAGGAAGGGGTTGCACGATAGGTTATACAGCAATGAGGGGGGCAATCTAGGGATATACACACAATAGGAAGAGAAGGGGTTGGGGGTATACATGTGACAAGATGGGCAGATCCTAGATACAGGATGGCAGCCTAACTTTGGATGTCACTGAGCTGTTTTGATCTGTTCTCCATAGGAACCATTATCAGTAGGGTGCAAACCCCACCTATAGCGACCAAGCTAATGGTCGCAAACCTTTAGGGTAAGGTCACCAGACGTCCCGCTTTTGGTGAGACAGTCCTGATTTTTAACAATTTTTCCCGCATCCCACGACGGTTTAAAAAAGTCCCGATTTTTGGAAAGAATGCACGACACACTAGGGTATACGGGTTTTCAGCTGCCATGTGGCTATTTCACCAGGATATCAATGGTTTTATCAATGGTGTCCCGCTTTACCAATGTTAAAATCTGGTCACCGGACTTTAGGGAGAAGTAATTGATTGTCCCTAACAGCAGGGAGTGGGGGGCTACCTTAGTCTGGTGACTGATTGCCTTTAAGGAGGATGTCTGTAAGCATCTGACCCCCATATGCTAGCAAAAGCCTCTAATTTTGGCATGTCTTTGGGGGAGACAAAGCTAGGGAAAAGCCTCTTTATATCCCACATAAGCTGAACTCCCTCAACGCACGCCACTGGTCCCTGGTCCCCCTTCCTCTCCTCCTGAGTCTCACAGGGTCTCCTCTGTCCCACAGTGAGAAGTTGCCCGGGGAGTACTTCCGGTACAAAGGCATCCTCTTCCCGTTGGGCCTCTATTCTCCAGAGAGCATCAGCACTGCCGGGGACAGCCAGGACGTGCGCAGCGACGACATCTTCATCATCACCTACCCCAAGTCAGGTAGGTACCTGAGGCCTGGAAGGGTGGCAGGTGGGACAGGTGTGTGGGGTTTGCTTTCTGGGAGGTCCCCGACCCCCTTTGCTAGGCTGGAACACACGACCTAGGTGGTGCACGAGCGTCCACACAATCTCAGGTTTGCAACCATCCTCCTTTTCAAAAGCCCCCAAAGAGGCGCTGCCTGCACCCCTGAAACCCCGGTGGAGTGGCGGAGTGGCGATGAACTGCGCGCTGCTAACCGCAAGGTCAGCAGTTTGAAACCACCAGCTGCCCTGAGGGAGACAGATGAGGCTGTCTAGTCCTGTACTCTTGGAATGTTTTCTCCATTTATCGATGTGACCTATGGGAGGAAAAAAAAATTGTCAAGGAGCTCCTCTTGCTAGGATCCAGTCAATGTTTGCAGAAACAGCCGTCCAGAGATCGCAGGACACATTGCTTTGGTCAATCTGCTGCGCAGGGAGGTTCCGTTGAGGGCGAAAGGGTACCTGACCCACGCCGTGGGATTTTTAATCGCCTCCGACGCGTGTGGAAGTTAGCTACTGACTAAGGAAGACCGAAGAAAAGTGGATGCATTTGGACTTTGATGCTGGAGAAGAATGTTGCAAGGACCATGGACTGCTAAAAGGACAAACCTTGGAAGAAGTCGGACCAGAGTGCTCCTTAGATGTGGTATGAAATTAAAAAGTGACGCCGAGGGAGGTGGGGGCCAGCCCCCACCGCTAATACAGTGAACCCTCGTTTATCGCGGTTAATCGGTTCTAGACCCTACCGTGATAAATGAAATTCCGCGAAGTAGGATTCCTTATTTGTAAATCAAATA